CCACACATATCTTGTCACTTCATAGGATTGCGGATGTTCGTTGCGTGCTGTGTGACTTCGTCAGGCATCCATCCCGGGCCAGATTAGGTATTTAACTCACCTCAGTTAGAGGATGTTCTTCAGGAAGAATCTGGCAGAACGGGTCGGTCCGTCGGGATCGTAGGGGACAATAGGTTCGGGCACGGGAGTTGCGTACACTTCCCGGAGGAGTGCGAGGAGTGACCCACTCTTGGTAAGAGGCCAGGGTTGGGGCAGACTGTCCACACGGGTCCTCATTTTTCCCACTGCCATCATCAAAGTGCCGATTTGTAGGGAGCTGTGCCGCCCTTGCTGATTCAAGCCGCACGTAGGCTTTCCATACAAGATGATATCACTGAGTTCAATCTGACGCTGTAGCACCGGCTCCGCTAGCGCTCAGCGCTCGGTACTATCAGTTCTGAGTCGAGCCCTCGACTCTTCAAGTTGAGTACACCAACCTGAGCTCAGTCAGAGGGAGTCTACAATCGCCGGAGTTTCGGGGCCACCACTGACGCGTACACCTCTGTGCAGAATGACTTAGTGAGGAAATGAGTAAGCGACTAGGTATGAAGAGTACATCGATACAATTTAAACACTTCTTGGATAGGACCGAGGAGAGTGGGCAAAGAAAGAAGTAACGAAGTAGAGAAAGCTCAGTGGTCCAATCAATTCAGCAGGCCGAACAAAACTGCCTTTCTCCGAGACTCGGAGGCGCCTCCGCCTCACCGCCTCCGACGCCGATACACGCCTGCGCCCGCGCCCGCGCCAGCTGCCCCCTCATCTCCTCCGCCCACGCACGATTCGCTGAAACCCATAATCATAAGCCCCTGCACGCTACACAAATTAAAGGTGCGGGGAGCCGAACGAACCAGCACACGGGTAGAGCGCGTTGCACCCGTCCACCACGCCGAGGAGCTCCGTGCCCAGGGCCACCGCGTCCGCGAGGCCGGGGTCGTGTCTCAAGAGCTGCATGCATCTACCCGGTATCAGTCATATAGAGTTTGCGAGGATAAGGAGGGGGCGAGGGGCACTGAAAGGCGCGTACATTGCGAGCTGCTTCAGGAACCACGCAACTTGGAACGGGCGCCGCGCCAAGGGCAGTGGCAGCCCCCCGGCTTGCCGCCCGTCCGCGTCAACGTCGATGTCGATGTGGGACGCACTGGCAGCGCGTTTGACGCGCTCGATCATGCGTGTTTGGTACTGCACTAGGAGGTGCGGCGTACGGTCAGTCATTCGACTGGTCACGATTACGGACAAGCTGGAAGCTGGAAAGGACGCACCCCATTCGCGGGCCTGGGTCCGAGTGAAGCGCGGGCCGGCAGGCGCGCGGCTCAGCCCCTGCATCCTAAACGCCCGAACGAGGTTAGATTATCTCGTGCAAGTTGGGAGAGAGTGTCACGCACGTCCGCAGCGCCTGGGCAACGCTCATGCGCGTGCTGCACTCCTCCCTCCCATCAGTCTGAATTTCTTGATGGACACCAGGGGACACGCACTTGTATATGTACTCCCGGGTAAGGTAGGCGACCCCCGCGTCGTGCTCACACGTGTGCGCCTCGAGCGCGTCCTCGAGGGCCTGCGCCTCGTGTCACGCGTCTTGCAGCGCCTCCGCCACGGCATCGGGCAACTTGATATCTGCGGGGCGGCGAGCCTGTTGCACGCGTTCCACATGAGCAGGCTCAGGCAGAACAGCGCCCACAGGGACTCCTTCGGGGAGGGCGCGGCCGCAGCGGGGGCGGCGTCACGGTACGCTGCGGCCTTCCGCTCGCTGACCTCGCCCGGGAAGAGAACCGCATACTGCCGTGGAGACGCAGTCAGTTTCGGTTTTGTCGGAGTACGGATTACGGGCGAGGATGGTGTAGTATGTACGTACGTTCGCGGGGTCGCTGAGCGCGAGCTCGGGCATCGCGCGCGCGAAGGCGGCGCACTGGACGAGATGCGCTGATGCGAGGCTCAGGGCGCTCCACGCCAGTCGCCGGCACTCCTCGTCGCGCACCTCGGTGGCCGACCAGCGCGGGTCCCAGCGCAGCGGGGCGGGTACACCGAGCGGCGGTGCGCCCTGCGGCGTGCATGCGCATGTGCACCGGCGCTCGTGGGGGAGGCGTGTGGGGTGCGGAAGCGGAACGGAGGAGACAATGGGCCCAGCACCGGGCGCGAACCGCGTGAAGTGCGGGTCGTCTTCGTCGAGGGTCGCGACGCCAACGGTCTGCAGGATCTCGTCCAGGAGACGCAGCGCGGCGGCGATGCGGTCCGGGTGGTATTGGGGATGCGCAGACGATTCGTAGAGCACGAGGATCTGCACCCAATTGATAACTTTGAGCACGAGGATAATCACTGATAAGATAAGATAGCACGGACCAGCGCGGCCTCCACGAGCGCTGCGTCTACCTGCAAACAAGTCAGTGGCGATGTGCAGGGGTTTAGTGAGCACATGCCCAATATCCATTCTTCCCTGATACTACGGCCGTCTGCAGCGCCGATTGTGCGTTTTCCCGCAACCACGCCGCGCGCGTCCGGCCGCTGGCGCCGCGCTCAGCCGCGTCGCTGGCGCGCATCAGCTCGGCCATCGCAAGCCCCGCGAGGACGAGCGCCGGCTGGATCTGCAGGCGCCCCTCCGGGCTCCACAGCACGTCCAGGAAGAGCGGGAGGGTCATGAAGCACAGCCTGCAGGTGGCCCGTGTCGGAGAACCTATGATACGTGTGCATCAGATCAACTTTGAAGAACCAACGGGGAGGAGAGGGGAGGAGAGGAGGTAGAGGTAGGTCAGGTCGGCAGCAACGTCGTCGAGACTGTATTGATTAGTGTGGGTCGGTGTTGCTGTAGGGCTGAAGCGAAGGGATACGCACGGGTACTGTTCCAGAAAACTTGTCCACCACCGTGACGCCCGTTGGTTCGCTTCGATAGCCGGGGCGGGTGGGGGCGGGAACTTGGGATGCGGCGCGGCTGGCGCAAAGCGCAGGAGGGGCGAGTGCCGCTGCTGAGCCTGCTTCCCCCCTCCACACAGCCCCCCCGCGAACGGCTGACAGAGCGGACCATCGCCCGCGTGCGACGCAGATTCAGAGTGTTCCGGCGACGATTCCTCGGCGTACTAGAAAATTGTATTAGAGAATCAGCAGGGTCGGCCGCGAGAACGGTATACTTTGTAGAGGTCCGTCATGATGCGAAGTGGCGCGGACGAGGACGCAGAGGGGCGGGGGTGGGGGTGGGGCTGGATATGGCGGTGCTGGCTGAAAGGCCCTGCGCCCTCCGAAGAATCCAAGGGAGAGGACGAGAGGCTTCGCCGCGCCTGCCCAGGTTGCGTCTGATCTTCAAGTTCGGGCGTGCGCCGCGCCAGCTCGACAAGGCGTACGGTCGTGGATCCCGTTGACGAGGACGAGGTCTTGCGCTTGCGCTCCGGGGGGCGAGGCCTAGGCGCGGCGCCGTCCGGGGGCCGTTTCTTGCACGCGCGCTGGCGGGCCCCTGGCCCCTGCGCCTCGGCGCGGCGTCATATACACACCCGGTCGGCCGCCGGAGACAATCGGTGCAGCCCGGGCGCGTCGAGTCGCAGCGTATTTTCCGCGCGCGGCTGTATTAAATTAGCGCGATCATTGTCAGGAATGTGCGTCGCGGGTTGGGGAGCGGAGGGCGACGGTAGTGCGATAATGCGATAGCGATACGCCGTGCGCGTTGGTGATATCGATAAGGAGGGAACGAGGATAGATGAAAGTATGAGCCGTGATTTATCTCGACATGCCAGACGCACCACGGCCTGCACGCTATGACAACCGAGACGATACAGCGCCCGCGGTGGTCTCCTGCGCTGGGCCGCTCGGCACGTCGGCGGGATACGCGTCGTCATAAGATGCGTACGAGCGGAAGGGCCCAGCAGCATCTGGGCGGCCCTGAGGCGGGCCAGGTAGACTCGGGCGTAGCGCAAGATAGCCACTGGCATAAGCGGCACGAAAGCTATCGGATACGGGGGAGATGCGTGGATGAGCGCGGAGTTAGGGGGATGCGGCGTCACGTACGGCTTCGGTTGAGGGGAGAGCTAGAGCGTATAGGGAGCGGGAGCGGGGAGGAGCTGGACGGGCCGCGCGCTGGCGGAGTTCTTCCGCAAATCCAGCAGACGAGGATGTAGATCCGCGGGATACGCAGGTCGTTCCGTCGCTCCGACATCTCCTGGCCCAGAACACAGGGCACAGACGTGAGTCTCTTCGGCGACTCCTGTGCAAGCAGGGAAAGCGATGAGCCAATTGTGGGAGGGGGGGCAGCAGAATCGAGCAGAACCCGCACGGAGGGCCGATGCGTCTCCCAGTACCCGATGCGCGCAACGACGCGTCGCGCTCGAGAGGCGACTTCGCGGGGCGGCGGATCTAGCCGTCGAGTGCGCTAGTAGTAGATACAGACGCGCGCGGCAGAGTTCCAGACCCCGAGAGCGAGTCGGGACGGTGGGATCCGGGAACGGGCGCGGAAGGGGTCTAACGGTGTCGAGACTCGAGGCTCGAGGCGCAAGTGCCTCTGTGCCCAAGTGCCAGTGCGCCGACGATCCCGGGAGTCACTAGTCACTCGCCGGCTGGTAGACGTAGACGCGTCAGGATAGAACCCTGAGATCTGAGATTCGAGGGCGGGCTGGACGTGTACGCGCGCGGGGAGCGGTGGTGGGACGAAGTGAAGCAAAGGACGAGCGCCGATCAGGGCACCGCCACCCGCTCGGAAATTGATCGAGCGCGGATCGCCGATCGCATCTGGATTCTGCGTCACGGAGAAATTAATATTGGAATTGAGGCGCGCCCTCGCATTGATATTGCGCGCTTGGCCCCGCACGGCCGCAAGGGGCAGCGATGTTGTGTGAGGAGCGCTCGTAGCTACGCGGCGCCCTGAAACCTCACCCGTCTGGACCGTCGCTTCTATATGAGTATGTAGCAAAATGGACGGTCATCGATAATCAGGGATCGCGTAAAGGCCCGCGTATCGACTCGGACGCGAGGCTCGACGCGCCAAAAGATGACCCCTGCCCGGATTGAACGGACGGCCTTCGCGAGGGGTAATATATTGCGACCATGCGACCACTGGAATGCGACGCTCTACCACTGAGCCAAGGGGTCTGGACTCCTGAGCGCAGGCCCTTCTGACTCGCCGAGCTCAGTCAGCTTTTCAAGAGAGCGTCCTCGCCGGAGAGCGGCGACGGACTCATCCAAGAATCAGCGATTGAACGTTGAACGTTGAACGTTGAGGGACGTTGTTGAGGACAACTTGAAGGTCGAGGAGCGCCGGAGTACTTAGTAGAGCCGGCATGACGGTCAAGAAGAAGCCGGAGAGCATCGATCAGTGGCGGTGCTCGACGCTTACTCAGCATCCTGCCATGCCTCCAGCCTCCATCGTCGTTTCGTCGCGCCGGCCGTTCAGCGGGCGCAACCGGGCGACGTCGGTTAGAGACAAGCGTACTGGCCTCATACGAGTGTCCCCGCTGGTATCTTCGCAAAGAAAGGTCCCCACTTGTATCTTCGCAAAGAACGGTCGGCGTCAGCATCAAGTTTTGGTGCGTCGCTTTTGCACGGTGGACAGACGGCCTTGATGACGCCCACCCCCCGCAGGCAGCCCACTCCCGTATATTTCTCTCTATCCCCTTCTGATGGACTATCGCGCGCAGAATGAGACCTCGGGGAGGCCGACGCCAGCGCTGTGCAATAGCTTGACGGTGCGCGACCACGCGCGCTTTTGCCAGTGCCCGCGCCTGACTCGCCTCATAGCCCGTGGCTGCGGTCCCCGCCCCTCGATGCAGCCCGCGCGCGTGAATGCCGGCGGCCTCAAGCGTCGGTTCCAGCACCGTCGACGTCCCGCGCGTCAAGACATCGCGCACATCCACTCCCGCTGCAGCCGCCCGCCGTCAACGCCAGCCCACCGCCGCGTGCCCCCGTCGCCGCCGCTCTCGTTCTCCCCCACTTCCGCGGCCCCTAAGCGCCTTCTCGTCACTCTTCGCCACCCCTATATCCATCCCCGTGGCAACGCCTCGTCGGCGCGGCCCTCCGCACGCTTCACACACGCCCCGCACCCCGCCCCTTCCCGCACGAGTAGCTCGGGAAAACGCGGCGACCCACAGTGGATAACGAAACGATGAGGGCAGGGAGGAGGCGGCGGCGCAACGTACGCCCCAGGCCGCATCCACGACGTCGACGTTCTCGTGCGCGGGGCACACCGGCCTGCGCGCGCGCCGCCGTCGGCGTCGCAGTCAGGTTCCTGCACCCCTCAAGGCCTCCCGAGCACACCTCGCGTCCGCGCGCTTCAAGCTGCGCAAGTCCCCCTCGTCGCAGCGCACGCGCGCCCCGCCTCTCGCCCTCGCCCCTCTCGTGCCGGCGTGCCTACCGTGTATCCCATGCGTCGGTGTCCTCGCCTTGGTCGCTCCCGCCGCTTCTGATGCGCCCTTAGCTTCACCGGTGCACCCCCAGCCCCGCTGCGCGCCCCGTCCTCTTCGAATTCGCCGCCGCCCCCTGCGTCGCTTCTACTGCGCCCCTCGTCCTCAGATCAAGCCCAGCGCACGCCACGTCCTCTCCGCCGCCGTCGCCGTCCGCTTCGTCGCAGTCGCCCTCGTCTGCGTCCCCCCGCGTCCCTGCGGCTCCGTCTCCCCGCGGCCCGCCGCCCGCCGCCCGTCGCCCGCCGCCCGCCGTCCTGGCGCACGCGAGCGCTCGAACACATCACGCGAACAGGACGAACGAGAGGGCGAGAGCGAGGGCGACCCGGACTGCGTGGGCGTCTGGATCAGCTGGATGTCACTGTACAAGACGCAAGGAGCGCTGGCGATAAGTACGAGCGCCGGGGCTGGGGCGTCTCGCTTGGTCCTCTCCCGTTCTGCATCCCCGCCTCCTGCTCCCTGCTCCCTGCTCCCTGCTCCCTCCTCCACCCGCGTCGCCTCCGCATCCTCGCACCCCGCCCCCCGTCGTCCCCTGCTCCCCTGCGTCTCCATCTCCCCGCGGCCCACCACGCGCCCCTGACCCAGACCCGCGGCCCACCACGCGCCCCGACCCAGCCCCGCCGTCGCCCGCCGCCCGCCGCCCGCCGTCCTGGCGCACGCGCGCCCGAAGGTATCAGGTGCACGCACCGGAGCGGGACGAAGGAGAGGGCGAGGGCGAGGACGCACGCGCTACGACCTCTCCCGGACTGCGTGGGCGTCTGAATCAGCCCGATGTACAAGAAGCAAGAAGCAAGAAGCAAGAAGCGCTGGAGACAAGCACGAGCGCGCGGGAGGGGCTGGTTCAGAAGGAAGGCAAGCGGGCCGTCCATCCGCACAAAAAGGGCGACGGACGGAGTGGGCGTCGGCGCGAACGATGGCGCGTGGAGAGAAGAGGTGGTCCAGGGGAGGAGAAGGGAGAAGGGAGGGGGAAGGTGGGGAGGAGGGAGGAGGGAGAAAGGAGAAAGGAGAAAGGAGGAAGGAGGAAGGAGGAAGGAGGGGAGAGGCGGGCTAGTAGGCTGGTGAGGTGGTCAGAGGTGGAACGAGCGGAGGCGCACGTGCACAGATTCGCCGGGGCTCAAGTGGGGGCGCATCGCCGTGCGGCAAGAACGTCATCTCTACCAGTGTCCCCGCCAGTGTCTTCGCAAAGACGGTCGGCGTCCGCGTCAGCATATCCTCGACCATCAAGCTCAAGTGTTTGCGCGTCGCTTTTGCATGGTGGTCCTCACACGGCCTTGATGCAGATGACGCCCACCGCCCGCAGGCAGCCCACCCCCGTGTATTCCTGGGAACATCGCGCAGAAGGAAAATTCGGGGAGGCCGACCCCAGCGCGCTGTGCGATCGCTTGACGGTGCGCGACCACGCGCGCGCTTTTGCCAGTGCCCGCACCTGACTCGCCTCATAGCCCGTGGCTGCGGTCCCCGCCCCTCGATGCAGCCCGCGCGCGTGAATGCCGGCGGCCTCAAGCGTCGGTTTCAGCCCGTGCGTCAAGACATCGGGCGCGCCATCTCAGTCATCGCGTGCCCGCCGCCGCCGGCCGCCGCCGTCAACGCCAGCCCACCGGCGCGTGCCCCCGTCGCCGCCGCTCTCGTTCTCCCCCACTTCCGCGGCCCCTAAGCGCCTTCTCGCCACTCTTCGCCATCGCCACTCTCGATCCCCATGGCAACGCCTCGTCGTCGCGGCCCTCCGCGCGCCCCGCACCCCGCCCCTTCCCGCACGAGTAGCTCGGGAAAACGCGGCGACCCACAATGGATAACGAAACTAGAAGAGCAGGGAGGAGGCAGCCGCGCAACGCAGCCCCAGGCCGCATCCACGACGTCGACGTTCTCGTGCGCGGGGTACACCGCCCTGCGCGCGCCGTCGGCGTCGCATTCAGCTTAACGCGCCCCTCACGAGCACACCTCGCGTCCTCGCGCTTTAAGCTGCGCAAGCCCCCCCCCGTCGTCCCCTGCTCCCCGCCGCCCCGACCCAGTCCCGCCGTCGCCCGCGGCCCACCGGCGCCCCCGACCCGTCGCCCGTCGCCCGCGGCCCACCGGCGCCCCCGACCCGTCGCCCGTCGCCCGCCGCCCGCCCACCGCCGCGTGCCCCCGTCGTCGCCGCTATCGTTCTCCCCCTTCCGCCTCTAACATCATCGTCCGCGTCGCCCTGCTCGGGCCTTTAAGCGCCTCTCGTCACTCTTCGCCACCCCTATCTCCATCCCCGTGGCAACGCCTCGTCGGCGCGGCCCTCCGCGCGCCCCGCACCCAGCCCCGTCCCGCACGAGTAGCTCGGGAGCACGCGCCGCTCGCCTGGAGACGCACGCCGCACGACGGTGGATAACGAAACGATGAGGGCAGGGAGGAGGCGGCGGCGCAACGTACGCCCCGGAACGCAGCCCCAGGCCGCATCCACGACGTCGGCGTACTCGTGCGCGGGGCACACCGCCCTGCGCACCGCCGCCGTCGCAGTCAGCTTCCCGCGCCCAGCACACCCCCCCCCCCAAGCGCTGCCCCAAGGCCTCACCAAGCACACCTCGCGTCCTCGCGCTTCAGATCGCGCAAGCGCAAGCCCCCCGTGCCAGCCCACGCGCGCCCCGCCTCCCCCGCCTCCTGCTCCCTGCTCCCTAATCCCTCCTCGGCCCCCGCGCCGCCTCCGCATCCTCGCATCCTCGCATCCCTTCCGCCGTGCGCATCGTCGTCGCCTGCTCCCCTGCTCCCCTGCGTCTGCGTCTCCCCGCGGCCCACCACGCGCCCCGACCCTGTCCCGCCTCGCCCGCCGCCCTGTCGCACCCTGTCGCACCCTGCCGCACGCGAGCTCGAACGCATCACCCGAATGGGACGAAGGAGAGGGAGCGGGCTACGACCTCCCCGGAGTCCGGACTGCGTGGGCGTTCGCTGGATCAGCTGGATGTCACTGTACAAGAAGCAAGAAGCAAGAAGCAAGAAGCGCTGGCGATGAGCACGAGCGCGCGGGAGGGGCTGGTTCAGAAGGAAGGCAAGCGGGCCGTCCATCCGCACAAAAAGGGCGACGGACGGAGTGGGCGTCGGCGCGAACGATGGCGCGTGGAGAGAAGAGGTGGTCCAGGGGAGGAGAAGGGAGAAGGGAGGGGGAAGGTGGGGGGAAGGGGAAGGCGGGGAGAAAGGGAGGAAGGAGGAAGGAGGAAGGAGGGGAGAGGCGGGCTAGTAGGCTGGTGAGGTGGTCAGAGGTGGAACGAGCGGAACAGACTCGTCGGGGCCCAGGCGCCCAGGGGTCGCGGTTAACTATCGGCGGGGAGGGATGCAGAAGGCGCACGTTGTGCAAGCATGAGGATCCCTGCCCGTCGCTCACTAGTCACTGCTTGATTCGATGGTCGTTAATTTGTTAGCATCGGTCGTGGTGCCGGTGAGGAGGGGTCTCGTCAAGAAATCCGCTGCGTCTTTATATAATACGACCCATGAAGCAACCCCGAGCGCGGCGGCCGCGAGTCAGAAGGCATTACCTTGTACTTCGTGCGCCGTACGAGCCCCCCGCCTCGCACGAACGAAAAACAAGATACTTGAACCGATTTTGAACAAGGCAGCACCTAGTACGCGTGTTAGAGAGGCACACTTCAGAAAGGGATCGATACGGGATATGTTGCAGCCCCGGGCGAGTCTGAGTTCAGGAGTACGTACGCAGAGGGGGGTAAGGCAGGACGACAGATCCATAGAGCAGGGTCGAGCACTGAGTTTCATGATCCGACCTGTTTGGCCAGCCACACTCGCCGCTCGGGGTTTCAGTTCGAATTGAGAGTCACTCGGTCGTACAGGCGGGCCCACCAAGTTCGTATTCTCCCACGCACGGACGGCGGACGCACAGGCTATGTACTGCTACTCAAACTGTATCCGTATCACTCTCTGATCGTCAGGATGCATTCTCGGACGCCCGGTCTAGCCCTCAAGTTCCTCCAAATCTTCCGCTTCACGCTCGATGACGTCTTCTCCGTCGAAAAAACTCGCAACACTGTCGAACGAGCCCTTGTATCGGCGGACCCTGGTCCCAGTAGTGTCCTCCTGTCGGTGTGCCCGACACTCTTGATGGTATAAGATGTCGTAGAATGTCTTCTTCCCGTCCTCCGCAGGCCCGGCGGTGGTGAACAGCAGGATGTACAGATACGAATCTGTATGGCCGACGGAGCAGATGGGTACCACGGGGCCCGTGATCCCACACCTGCGGATCGGGCCCATGGCGTAAGCCGGCCGCGTCACCTCGCCATCCTTGTTTTTCCCCGTCCGGAACGAAAATTTGCCCGGGAACTGGGCCCAGTCCACGGTGAAGTAGTCAGGGATCCCGGTGGGATCTCTGTGCCACTCGGCGTCGGCAATGATGTCCTCGTCGCTGGAAACCAGCCAGCTCGCTGGGAATCCCTATGCTGGTAAATTTACTGTGGAAAGCGGGTCTAGCTGCACGTACCGGTTTCTTGGTGCCAACGTCATCGGAATCTGGCCCATGCTCAGACGGTGCAATAGTACGTTCCGGGGTGGTTGCCTGTGAATGACAGCATAAGAACTCGGACGTTGCAGGTAGAAATCATATCAGCTTCGTGAGACATGAGAGAAAGCCGGTGCACTCGCAGAAGGTGTTATCCGTGTGTGTGAACGGATACCGATGTGTCGTCGGCGCCTTTATATACTGCTTGCGTCATCTCAGTGGGTCCAGCAGATCGGAGTCCAGAAAAGGATCCGTTCCGGCCAGTCCGGACCGAGATTACGGGAGACATCGCAGGGCAAGTCAGGCAAGTCTCAAGAGCCAGTGTCTGGGCGTGTACCTTCCGGAAGGAATATCGCTGTTGTATTCGAGCCCACGACTTCTGTGTCAGTCCCAGCACTGAGCAGCTGATCATCCGCACTTGCGCCGCGTGAACTTTAATGATTCCAACTCGGCGGCAACGAAGAGTAAGCTCAGCGGTCATATTCCATACCGCGAGCCTTCATCGATGCGCAAGGGACCAGAGAGTTCTGTGAATAGTTCCGGAAGGAACCATCGGTCTGCCTAGCTCACAGAATGAGACGAGATCTCTTTGCAGTCTCGACTCTCCAGCGTCTAAACAAGTCAAAGCGAGCCCAGCAAGATGGCCCAGAGCCCCAAACGAAGTTACGGAGTGGGAGCATGAATCCCGGAGAGAAGTGGCGCAGAACAAGGCGCTCAAGGCAATGCGCTCCAGGGTTCAGCACTGAACCGGCAGACTACATCAGACTTTTGACAGATAGGTTGTGAGGTTGTACAACCCCAAACAACCCCAGAAAAGGTCATTCAACCTTGCAATCTCACAACCTCACAAGCTGAGTCCGATTTTGCCACAACCTCAAAATTTTTCAAAAAACTTTTTTTTTCAGGAGGTGTCCTGATCTTGTTTCATCATTTGGGAGGGATCATTTTTTGATTTTGAAGTTGTGAGCTTGTCGACAACCTCAAAACCCCAAACAACCCACAATCTAATTGTCAAAAGGCTGATGTACTTACTGATTGAGATGTTGTTGAGATGCTGAAGGTGTATTGAAAGCCGATGGCAGAAGATTCTTTAGAGGGCTGAGAGGAAGCGGCAGAGGAGGCCATGAAATGCGGGCGCACAGTGTTGCCAGCGGATGATGGGAGAAGAAGAGAAAGCGATCACGATTCGCACAGCCACGCCCGGAGTTATTCGGGCCGCCAGCATTACGCAGTCACGTCACTCCTTCTGCTTCTCGTGGATAAAGCACCAATTTGAGCAGCTAGCTTCACCGGCATACACATTAGAGCCAGTACGGCGACCAATAAATCTCAAATCAACATGCGTGAATTTAGTCACAGGGTTGCCCTAGTACAGTCTAGTACCGGGGCATACTTGCACACATCTCGGTGGTAATGGATCCATAGCGTTCCTTGAATGACCATTCATGGGGCATGTAGTGTAGGGGTTATCGCGTTCGCTTCGCATTCCGCTATAGTTGGCGAGTCGATTGTGAAAGGTCCTCGGTTCAATTCCGAGCTTGTCCACTTTTTTGGAGTTCTTATTATCTTCATCCTGAGAACGCTCTGATTCAGACTTTGGAGTCTCCTTTGTGGAAATCCCCTTTGCCACGTTGTTTGTTCCGCCTGGGGAATGCCATGATCCAAGCAGTTGAGGTCCTTCCGAGGAGGAAGTGTGACTACGCTTGGACTACGCTGGACGGGCGCGGACACACTCGTCCCGTGGCTTCGTTGTGAGTATGCCAAACTCAGGCTATCTGCAGACCGTAGTAGTTCCAAGGGTCAAGTGGGATACTTCAAGATCCCGCGGACGTACGAGAGAGTGACTTCTGCGTCAATTAAATGACCCGGCACGCGCATTGAATGGAGTTGGGCTTCAAAGCTTGAAAGTCCCACTGCTTGCTACGAAGCGAAGACACCGCCCCAATTCAAAGCGAATCTCTTGCAAGATATTGGGCATGATTGATTCTCGGAGGTGAGAAGCCGGTCAATTTCTTTAATTTTTTTGAGAAAACAACCTCCGAGTCGCTTACTAGAACTTGGCGAGACTCAAGCAACAAAAAAGGTGGAACTGGGTCATTGCGATTCAAAGGACAATACTACTACAGCGCCATACTCGATCTTTTCCCTTTGCGATGTTAGAGACGATGAACTTGAACTTTGAACTTGAAGGGAGATCGGCGGCAAGACCCGGCTGACACGTGGCGCATCACATGATGTACCACGCTCTTCCTCTGCCTCCATCATCGCCTACACCAGGCTCCTACCCAGCCGCACGTTACGGGGTTGGGAATCTCAGTAGCGGTGACTTTAAGTAGAGAAAGAGACCTGTGATCAGAAGAGTCATCATAAATATGTCATCAAGTTACAATAGCTCCCGAACTTCAATCTGCCCAACCCCTCCACGGCGGCTGGCGTTTAACAAGTGTAAACAACATAGCCACAACTTGGCAGAATATTGGTTGCGCACCCTCAACCTCCGCAGAAAATTCCCTACCTTTGCTCAGAGGCCTGAGGCAGCCCTAAGACTCTCCCCCATGTTTTGGACAAGCTCACTATCCGATGTGGGAAGCTGTATGAAAGTGCGCTCGGCCGGTGGCTATGTTGTTTACACTTGTTAAACGCCAGCCGCCGTGGAGGGGTTGGGGCCTTGGAAGTTCGGAAGCTATTGTAGTTGATGACAGGTTTATGATGACTATGCTGTGTTATCTGATCATTTTACAGATTGTAACACTACCACTGAGATTCCCCAATCCCCGTAACGTGCGGGTGGGTAGGAGCCTGCGCCTACACCAGGCCCAGCTCACGATTGTGGAGGCCGACGGCTTTGTGGCCAATGAATGTCTGACGCTGCTGCGCGACGCACGGATGCTCAAGAAATGCACGTTCCGACACATTCGCGACATGGAGGATGACGCTGCCGCCAGCACCCGAGTCGTGCACACATCTCTGGAGCAGCTAACCATTTCCGGGGGCGTCGCCCATCTGGTCCCCTGCCTCGTCCTCCCAGCGCTGCGCACTCTCACGATGGCACCGACCCGCGACTCAACAACTCCGTGACTCTGCACCCGCCTGCGGTGGAGGCGCCCGTCGCTGGGACACGCGTGCTGCACGTACTGGGGAGCGCGCACAGCGGGCCGGAGCACCGCGCGTGGGGCCGCGGAAGCGCTCCCGCCGCTCTTCGCGGACTGGTGCGTTCTCGCAACTTGGGGCAAAATCCGCCGTACACTCCCAATTTTCTCAAGCAGACTTGTTACTACAACACCCCAGGGTCGAGGCTCCTACACCCGATGGGCACACCGAATGAATACCGCCGTCTGCTAAGCCCCAAAATACCAGTATCTCCGCCCTCCTTGCTGTCCGTTCCCGATTTGGCTCACACCCAAGGACCCTGGGGCCCTCTTTTTCCGAGTCGCTCCTCTCTACTCTACTCGGGTGTTGTTTTAAAAGCCTCCTCGTCCTTCGTGACCAATCTTTCTCGCCCCCCCTGCTCGACTCCTTCTCGTCCATTCTGACGCTCAAGGCTTGCCGCTTCACCTCGATCACATCTCGCGTGTATCGACCTCTCCGACTCAGCTATGCGTTCTCGACTCCCTATGTCAAACTTCAAGTCCATTTCTATACGCATGTGGCTAAAGGTCCGCGTTCTCAAAAGTAAAATGTTACGGCGGCATATCGATCGACGATGTCCCCTCCTGCTTCAGTGCGCGCAGCTCGTGCGCCTTGTTCCCCGAGCGCCCGTCCGCCTCCTGCCGGTACTGCTTCGGCAGCAGCGCCAGCCCCCCTGCATACGCCACCGGGAGGATCTGCACAGCGTCAACATCCCCAGAACCTGAACAAACAAAAGACGAGCACGCACGACACACCACGCGATCCACAGCCTATTCACGCTTTCGGGCAGCTCCCCGTAGCGCAGCAGGCGCGGCCACTCCTCCGCGTAGCCCGAGTGGGCCTGGTACATGCCGAGCCCGACGAGCAGCAGCCCGATCACGGCGTGCAGGTAGTTCTGCGGCGGGCGGCGGCGCGCGGCGCTCGCGGGCTTGAAGTAGTGGATGACGGCGCCCATCGCGCACTGGATGATGTAGAGCCCGAGGATCACCTTGCCGAGGGTCTACTGGGCAGTCAGCGGGAGGAGGGGAGGGCGGGCACGCGACGCACGACGTGCGAGGGCGAGATGGTGTCGCCGTATTCGGCCTTGGCGGCGAAGCCGAGCCCGAGGCCGGCGACGACCACGGGGCCCCCTGCAGCGCGGTGTTAGCATCTATTGGGAGCGGGAGCAAGGGAGCGGACGCACCGATGGCGAGCTGCGCGATCCAGTGCCCGGAGTACCACCAGGGCCGGGAGGTGCGCAGGTAGCGCGCGAGGAGCGCGCCGAGGGGGAGGATGAGCGCGAAGGCGAGCGTGCTGAGGAGGGCGTGCACGATGACGAGCTTCTGGAAGCGCGAGAAGGCGGCGGGCGTCTCCGGGCCCGGGCCCTCCACGACGCCGGCGGCGGCGGTGGCCGCGAGCGCGAGCGCGCAAAGGGTCCGAACGGGGGCGGGTGAAAGAAAGGTCATAACGGTCGTGCGAGAAAGGGAAGTGGGTGAATGTGCTGTTTGTGAGCGGTTATATATCCTCGATCCTCGATTCCTACGCGATCGCAAGGGGCTGTGCAAGAGGATTGGCGGCGAGGCGAGGCGTAACGCGTAATGAGTCATGACTGCTTGGTCGATTCGGCTGGGGCTCGGGATGGCCGCAGTATGAGCCTGTAATGGTAATCCGCTACTGTTCGATAGGCTGTGTTGAATGCAAGACCCATTAAGTCTAAACCCTCTCAGACTCATGCACCCTAACTGTCACGTTCACGGCGCGCGCAGAAGCACGAAATAACGCGGAAAAAGACAATGGTTTTTTTCCATTTCTGGCGATCTCATTTTGTTTGACTACACCGAGCCAAGCGGTTCTACTTGTGGGACCGTGCCATGGTCCACCTTGAACAGTGTGCGATGGACAATTGATACACGTTGTAACTTCCGAGTTGTAGCCTGATCGAATACACTAGAATTTCTTTGGGATTAAAATATTAAATCTAATAGATTTCTATCCCTGAGACTCCAGAAACGTGTGAGAATTCAGAGGTCTGCTTTGTGAAGCGTATTGCGCCAGCCCAGCTTCGCCTTGCTGTGATGCTGCCCAAAACACTGGGGAAGATTCATCGGTGTAGCCGCGGTTGAATCAGTAAGTAAGCTAAATAATTTTGAGATACAACGGAAGCCCATAGGAGAATGCCATCCCAGGTGTGCCCCAGATGTTCAACTTCCACACATCCGAATCCCTCGCTTGGCACGGATCATCGGAACATTTGGGTTACCAATATGCCGGGTGTACGGATGTGTTGGGCTTGGCAGCTTTCTGGAGGTCGAGCTTTGTCAATCTTGTTTTCTAGATCTGCCGATCGCGATTTTAGCGAGTCCTTCCGTCTTGCTTCCGTCGTGTTCCATCTTTTGTCGCGACTCGCTCTTCCCGAGCCTCGCTCTTCTCTTGATCGGTTATCCGCAAGATACCGGGGGCGAATCCGGGCGATGCCGCGTATTATCGAACCAGATGATCCTGGCAATTACTGTACGCTGACGCCAGAGTATGAAGCGCAGCTCCTGGCTGCCCACAGTCAGGCAGTCAGGTCCCCTGCAATCAAATGGTGAGTCAACTCAACTCGAGTGGGTCTAATCTAACCACTGAAGTTAGCTTGGTGGGTGCAAAATCGTTAGAAACGAAATGCGTACCAAACCCTGCTCGAGTGCATCAGGGAAACCTGAGCAAAGGATAGACAGACTTGATCCGGAAGGCAGTTCACTGAATCCGAGATCCTAACCTGCGACGCTGCTTATCTGAGATCGAGAGAAATTGAAAAGAGCGCGAGTCAAAGTGCGAGGTGCCTGTGACTCGATCCTGAGTGATTCGACAGAATTTTTGGCGGTTTTTACGACGGAATGCAGGCGCAGACCATCCGCGGTGAGGGAAAGGAGACACAGAGGCGACCACCCAATATTGGTGCGCAGATGATTTTTTTCTTCGTGCAACCAGAAATGTCAACGAAATACAACCAGAAATGACAACGGTGGGAGCAGCGAGCAAAAAGGATGCAGAGGACTTTTCTACATGGCTCGAGCCCGAGTCGAACGGGTTGTTCCTGCAGAAGGCAGCACCCAGCCATGGAAAGCAGGTGCGGTTCCTCCGCCAATGAGCCGCTTCGTTGCTCACCTTCTGAGGATCAATGAGCACAGCGATTCCCGGCTGTAGCCTTTCAAGCAGCGCACGAGAATTAATTACGTTCATGCTGACGACATCTAGCTGGACTGTGCGAAGGCAGAATGGGAGGTCGAATGCATGACTTTCCAGTAGGCCTCGTACGAAAAAAGCAGGCGGGGAAAATCCGCTACTAAGCGGGAGCAGTTCCTCGGCTTCCCAGGAGCAGAGCGAGACCTAAAAACCGCGCAACAAACAAAAAGTCCAAGACGAAGGCACAAAAAGCCTTGCGGACGGGACGG